GCGGAAGAGTGTTTCCAGCTGGGTGCTCACATCTTCATATTTGTCGTTACTTTTGCCGAGGAAAGACGGGAAAAGTTCGTCATAAGGTTGCATTTTCGAGAGGACTATTTTGACAACCCTATACAATACGATTTATTTAAAATCCAGTATATCTGAATGAGATTGATGAGCAATGTGCGACTTACACCGAGGCTTTCGCACCTTAGTGTTACGAGGTAGCATACGTCCGCCTATCCGGCGCAAGTCAACTGACGCCAGAAACGGTCGTAGCAATGAGGAGGTTCGTAATCTTTCCATGTCAAGTGCACGCAAACAGCTGTCTGTGGTACCACTGTCACATGTTTTGTTAGAATTATGAAATTCGACATGCGCGGCTACAGGTTAACCGATTTTTCTTCGAAGTTGAGAGTGTCAGAGGTATCGTGCCGGGGGGGGGGGTGAAGGGTAATATCGGATCACAACAAGTCCACCCATTCATCGAAATCGTGCGGTATGCGTGCCGGGGGGGGGGGTGAAGGGTAATATCGGATCACAACAAGTCCACCCATTCATCGAAATCGTGCATTAGGTCACCACACATCGACAATGGGTATTGGATTTACAGCGGTCCGACTCCTCTAAACAGCTGAAGTGCCTGTCACCCAAACTTAACTCATACCCATAAACAGTGAACAGAATATTTACGATTGAATTAGTTCCCTATGCACAACTATCTGTAGCACTCATTTGTCGCTACTGTTTCATGATTATTTAGAAAGTGAGCCTCCTTAACCCATTCAAAATTTTTTTTCACTAACTGGAATGTAGTAGCAATAATAATCGTTCGGCTCTAACACCCTTCCGGTGCCTAGCTGCCACGCCAACCGAAGGAAGCACGAGGGCTGGGATACTGCCAGGTTGCCCATACCTAGACAGGGAAAGCCGAGAGGCAGAAGTAGGGTTCGAACAACGGACCTCCCGGGCAGTAAATTCGAGCTCTAATCACTTGAGCCATTTCCCCCCTAAACGGAATCTCGTGGAATCTGAATTTCCCTAAAACAGTATTTTTCAAGATTAAGTACATCTGTCAACACAGGAAAGACAGTGAATGAACCGCTTCTGTTTTGGCGTGAAATTTATATCCGCCTAAGTACCCAAGGCTAAGCATCTGATTACTTCGTGATGCAATGTGTGTGGCGCTCATGACTGAACCGTGCAACTATTCGACAGACTGCAACAAGCGTTGACATTTTATTTCAAGTTAAGAGAGTATGAAGATCACTGCAATGAACGAAAAGGCGAACCAGCTGGTTCACGAAAACTGGACTAAAAATAAGTGAATTGTGAGTCTTAAATAGAACCGCGAATAAAAACATCTGAAATCTGCTAAGCGCCTATTCAAGCGGAGTAGTGGCTGTGAGCGTCGCCCAATTAGTGAGATAGCCGGTTGCTTATTCCATTTTCCTGTCGAGTTTATAAAACCCCGGTTGAACTGACGTACGGGTTTACTTTCACTGATGTTCTGGAAATCCAAAGAAATATTTCAAAACTGGTTGCCAACCTAGGTGTGTCCCAGTGCCCCCAATGCATTCCGTCTGCAGAGACTTGCTCAAATTTTGGGAGCAGGGTTGGCTGTTTTTTTCATCACTGGGCAAACAGCAAGTGTGTTGCGAGAACTTTTTCCCTATTCCAAACCCCAACAGGCTATAGCGGGTAAATGTATCGTTAATCGTATGGCTAGTGAAAAAAGCATTGTCTACTATCACTTTAACAGAATGCTACCAAGTGGCTATAGACACAACACACCAATAGAATATGCTTGCTTCTGTGCTGAAATTTTGTACGAACAGGTGAAACCCCTACAATGGTTAAAGTATATATAGCATGAGAGAATTTCGTCATGTTATCGTTTTAAAGCCGGCTGGTCCTTGCGTGACTTTCCAGCAGTCTCACTCCATTGGATCTAAGCCGTGACTCCCAAAGGCTTGCATGTGGCGTAGCAAACTAACAACTTTGGGAAATGCGCGCAAGCTTCCTGGGGTTCGAGCAGCTCTAGTCGGTGAATCCCCTTTATCCGTTAAGGGTCAGTACTGAAGTGAAGTTATCAGTAACAGTAGTGTTAATATTGTGCATTTTTAGGAAAAGGTCGGAACAGACAGAGAGGCAGACACGTAAGGAGTTTGTCCTTCATTGGAAGATAAACCGTAGTAGAGAGTGAATAGGTATAACTCTGAAGATAAACACTAATAATTTGTCTATTCATTTGTGCTGTTACACAGAAGAAAGGAAATGCTAAATTCGTAGCCTGGTTATACAGGTGTGGTATTAACAGAGCTTCGGAAAGCCAAACATTCCATTTTCAAACACGAACAAAATAGTGTCTTGAACCAAATGATGAGATCAACAAAATGTGTTTAGTACGCGGTCAGCGTAAGGTAAATTTTGCGAAATTCAGCGAAAAGCACTATTCATTTTCTCTCAAACCGACCCGAGGATTAGGTTTTATACTTTTTGTTTGATGTTTTAGTTTAGTGTTAGATTCAACTAAAACGCGTAACACAAGAAAACGATGGCAGGCATCTGCGCTCCTTGTATGCGTGTGTTTGTTTGTTTGTTTGTTTGTTTGCGATAAACATGCGCATGAGTGAATATTTAGCTGCTGATATGCTGAAGCTTTCAGTGACCAAGTGGAGCACCATGGCTTTACAATGTCGGGTTCACTCGTGTCACACGTCGGAGTATCATACGTCCACCGTCGTCAACTAGATCAATCAGAGAGGATCGCCGATAAGCCAATGGTGACCGTTCCACGATTGTTTCGGTAACGGTCGGTTCCACATATTCGGTCACATAAGTTTGAGACGCTCTCCTATGGAGTGCTGGAGGTGCAGGCGGAGGAGTGATTACACGAGTAACGGTTTGCCTCTGTCGGATTATGACGGGTGACGGAGCTCTCTGTGTAATGACCCGCCTTACCGAGACTGGTGGAAGAATGTGCACAAAACGAAAGATTTTGTAAGAAATCGGCTTGCTTACACAAACTGCCACGGTCAATTCTCAGAATGCACACAAAGATTCCTTCAAAAATCGACATCCGATATGCATGTATATTTATTAGTCTTGCTTAATTTCATCTCTTTGTAAGAACGTTTCCCTTTATAAAGACCATAATGTCATCTGATATGAATATGTTGACAAACGTCCAATCTTAAAGTCTCCCCTCAAACTGAGCTTGAACGGCCAAATCAAATAACGCTGCCGACGTATTGGTTGACTAGTATCGTTGATCATTCCTCTAGTTCGTACAACCTTGCCTCATGGCTTACAATACTGGAAAAATCTGACCACAACCGAAGTTGACTGCATTGGTAAGGATGGTGGCGATGAAGATGACAAAAAAGAGAGATATCAATAATGATACTGTTGGTACCTTTGGGAATACTGAAAAACAATTGATTGTAAGGAGCAAAAGAATGAGAATAATCGTAGAAAGTTTGTTGGTGAAACGAACAGACATTTTAAGGAATCGCTAATTCTTCTGCTGCTTGGGTTTTGGTTTTTGTATTCATTGGTTAAGATATGTGTTTCTGATGTAAACAATTATGTGCTATACTGTTTTTTTTTAAATACCTTTTTAACTGGACAAAATTTTCGCGGATGAAGCGAGATTTTCAAGGAAAAACACTACATTACACCGAATACACTTCATCGTTTACCCGCAAGGGCACAACTTTCACATACACTTTCATGCTGATCCAAATTAACCAACACCACTTCTTATGATAAAATTACCAGCCCATAGTAAGATGAGATGAAGAATGTTGACATTATGTTGAAAATTTGGTAGCTTAGGTGAGTTAATTAGTTGGAGAGTGTTGCCTGCCAAGGACGGCAAACATATCAACAGCTACCTGATTTACAGCTGAATAACGTCAAACCCGTATTAAGGTAAGCTGTGAAAATTTGATCAAAAGACTATTAGGTGCTTCACAACTCACCTTCGTATAACTGAAATGCTCTTTATACTCTAGAAACAACTGCACTGTATTAGTTACCCAGCAAAAAGTACATCGAAACTACGCAGAATATACTCAGCTGCACACAAATTTGATTTTAACGAGTGGCTTTATGCTGAAAATCTCGTTTGTGATGTTCTTCAGTCAAATTTGCTGTACAAACGTTGTTTCATTCTTCAGTATCGCGGTATGTCTTCTTGAAAGAAAATACTCATATGGCCCTGGAAACTATTGGTAGAATATCACGAACCCAGCTTGAGCCCAGCTGGTTCTCCAGTTAAAACCAGATTTGTGTAAAAATAAGCGGGCTTCACGAATTTGTCAACTTTGGGTTCAAGTGGAACTTAAGCCTGAAGAAAACTCGGAGACTGCGTCTATCAGATATGTCCGATGAAGGGCGAAACAGATTGTGGGGTGTCGACTAGCTTACACTAACCTTATAAGTAATTTCCTTGGAGCAATAGACCGAAACTAATTTTGAGTGAGATAACCGGAGAATGTACAGTACACCGTAGTAATTCTTATTCTGGACGCTCTAGTAGGTTGAAGCAAAGCAAAATTTCACCTTCTCGGTCCACACTGCTTATCCACGAGCTAATCCTCTCTATAATCTCCTTATTATAACGTTTGGTTAAGGCAATTGTAGCAGAGCTTCGATGTGGGTATAAACATTTTATTGATATGGCGAGAAATCCGTGAAATTCTCATAATAAAGCAATCATCCATGTAATGTTTGATAACTATGCAAATGTGGGTACTCCCGCCGAGTATATATGAATCAGTGATTGCTGCATTACAACAGAATGTAGAACGTAACATTCATCTCACGCATCTGTATGCGTCATGACTTTGTCATATGCTGCTGAACCAACATTATCAATGATTGAAATCGTGTTCTATAGAACAATGAGGTTTCTCTTGAGAAAATCAATAGAAGGGGGAAAATCGCATATGTTTTGACCATAAGTTGCTGAGTAGTTACTCATAGTATATAGGAAGTACCAATTAGGTTGCTGAGGGAAGCACCCTTGATACACGTTTAAGCACAAACGGACCTGATTCTTCGACTGCAGGACTGTCTTCGACGTAGACCACCGATGCCGGACGACTAACGTAAGATGCACGACGGACGAACATTGGTGATGGCTCACGTTGTACTTGCACTGTCTCCGCGACTACAGGCTCTGCTGGCCTCACTCTGCGAACGACCACCGGTTCCTGCGCTCTTTGAACATACACAGTTTGCGGTGATGGCACTGTCTTTTGAACCACAGAAACACGTCGTACGGGCACTGGTGATGGAGTTCTTTCACGCTGCACCGTCTGTATACGCTCCACATATGTTGGTGATGGACTGCGTGGTGGAGGCAAGTATTCTTTGACGTACGTGACTGGTCTTGGAGCTTCTACGTAGACGGCACTGCCTGGCCTTCGGTCCACGTAATAATCACCTCCAACAATCTGAGATCTGGCTGTAAAGTTCGCATCACCATAGATCATGCGGCGAACTGTCTGCAGGTCCATGGCATTATGGCAGCGAAAACTTTGATACAGACGCCCACCTTCATAGTCACCCTCAGTACACAACATGAAAATATCTGGTTTATTAGGAAAAACGTAGATCTTCAGTACATCGTTATAAGGGACTTCTCGGCGATAAATCCTCATCTTGCCGGAAGTTGTCCTCGAAAAGTGTATTCGGTCGGGCAAAAATTTCGCCACGCCTGAGTGGTCCTTCTCCAATTGTCGACTCAGTACGGCAGAGGCCAGGCTGTCCGTCAGATAACTAGATCCGGTGACCTTGGTTTGTCCAACCAAATCTACCGTAACCCCGTAGAATTCCTCCTGTTTGATCATTTTACCGTTCTAGGATGTTTTCACAGAACATTCAGGTGTTCACTCCTACCTTGTTTGGAACGGGTTATATATCTGTCTGGGAATTAGGAGCTCGGTGCGCAGGTGCTAACTTTCAATGAATCAGCACTGAACTCATGGCTGCACACACAAACGCAGCTGAAGACTGACACACTGAAAGCTGTTGATCAACCTTCCAGCAACATTACCAATGGATAACGGTCAGTTGTGCGCACATTCTAACAAGAGGGTAGACTAAGGACAGTGGAAACACCACACTGTAGCCGTGATTAGTATCAGACCCATCAGTCAGTATGTCCATCAAATTTTCGAACAAATTATCCGGCAACCGCAATTAGCCTGTGCGTAGAAATGCTTGAAAGAATGTCCAGAAGAAGCATATAATGCTGTGGTCTTTTGAAATCAGTGCCAAACAAGAGTTGAACTACATGAACCCTGAGTTGACGATGATATCTTCACTATCATTTTGTTACTAAAACAAAACTCACCTTTGCGAAGCAGTAAACCCAATGGGAGATGAGAAATGTGACACAATCGCGAGAAATTGGGCACTTTTGTCAGTTCTTGTGATGTTTTGTTGGGTAATATTAAAAAAATAGATTGCGAACTTTTACTCAATTTTTTGCTTGTGTCTTCTTTAGTTACAGTCCAGTTGCTTCATAAATTGTTCGATTCTTGCCTGCATTGAAACCAAGGCACCTAGTATTAGATGACAGTAGTGTTCAACGAGGATTTTTGCCTGTTTTCTTCCACGCCAGTTTAGTATTTCGGGAAACAAAGCTAAGATCGACAATGCCTCACGCACGGTGCAAACCTGGGCTTCCGACGAAGTACTGAGATGCAGATGGTGAAAAATCGAACGGGAATGTATTTTCAAAACTAGACACAGATTTCAGACTGTCTCTCCAGCACAATGTATAATGCCCACAAACACTGCCCCCTGAAAAATAAGAGATCATGAGAAGATTGGTGATAGCCTTTCTCACTGGTACATACAAACATATTTTCCCATTCAAGACTTTTGACGCCATCTTTGGAAAGCAATACATCTGAACGCTTAGAAGGAGTAAAGCTTTTGGTGTGGAAGAACTGAAGACTTCCAGTGGTGATGGACCTTTAGACGACATCAGTTTTTCGACGCTGTCCATCTCCCACCAGGGTCCACCTCCCCGCCCAGTATACGCTTCCAGACGCTATTATATTTGCACAACCAGACCAACTCTGGGATAGATGGCAACTTTTCTTTTAAAATAAAAGTAAGGATACTGCGATAAACCTTCAGTGTAGGGAATACCATTCGATATACATCTGTAGTGGACTAGGACCTTATCAGCGTGTTCGGATAAATTAATAAGCAAAGTAACCAATACAAAATCACAAAATCACAATAGGAAAGGAATGAGTAGTCAGCTGGGGACTCACGAATGTATAGGTCCAGTAGTCCACTACACCGATCCAAATGCGGTAACTGGCTGTGAAGGGAAATATTCACTTGTCGAAATTCCCCACAGATGGTTCCGCTGAGTGATATATTCCACGGTAGGAAAATTATTCACGGCTAAAAAATGTCACAGGGATTTATTGTGACGTTCAACAGTTGACACAGACACAGAGATTTGGTCCCATTGGTTCAGCAGTCAACAAACAGTTCAACGGAGCGTAAATACGCTCATTCCGCAAGAAGTCAGCAGGTCGCACCGGAAAATTGTGTATTCGTAACATTAAAACAAACGCCATGGTACAATGTGAATAACAGTTACAAAGTGTGGTTTAAGTTCAGGAAGAATGGTAAATGTGACAACGGATTACAGACACTACACATCCGTACAATTCAGAGTCAACCTGAATGCCGCGGACCAAACCACAGAAAACAGCTGAGTTTCTGAGTGAATACAAACTTTCAAAATCTTTTTAGCATTCCTATCTTAAGGAAATCTAACTACACGATAGCTTTTCATTTTCTTATTAGGCAATCATTGAGGCTTTTACTGTGTAGAGGGCCTTCGTGGAAAGCCTCCTCTAAGTTGCCTGTACTAGCAAAAGCAACTAAGATCTCCTACCTTTGCACCGTTTGATCTCGGCTACACAGTTCGTACACTTTGCCTCTTACTGATCAAAAGATGATTTTCTCTGCGCAAGTGTACGTCTATGCTGTCTGATTCAGCTACCTCTCATATTGCCTACGAGTTCTGCTGCAGCTGCGGAGATGCTAGTATCGGTAGGACAGGCAGATACCAATCGGAACGTGATGCGGAACACATTCCAATTTATGTGATCTAAATGCTGTCAGGATACCCGTCATTGTATGGCCAACAGACAGGTAGTTTTTAGATGCTGGACATAGGATTGACTCAGTCAACCGCTTTAGAATCCTACTAAGCGACAAAACTCCAGGAATTTTGCGCGAAGCGAAACGCTGCTGATCATGTCAAAATAGCCCAAACTAAGTGCACAAATCAGTTGAAGCGCACGATTTGAAATTGGTCAGATGTGACTTGCGAAAATTAACCAACCGGTTCAAAATTGTTCAAATTCTTTGCTCACTAAACTTGCCTGTTTCACGTACACGAACTAACTAAGAGAGTAAAATAAATGCTAACACATCGCAGCATGTCTTCTATCATTTCCAATGAAACGGGATAACAGAACGCAATCCTACCAATTTCTCTCTTATGTGCCCAAAAGCAGCTAGCCTGCTGTAGTCTGACAGACAAAATTTTTATTTTACTTAGTCACGTGATCTTGCAACATCACTTTCTCGTTGTTCTTCGTACGTACACCGATTTAAGTCCATGTTAATCGACCACTGATCCTGCTTCCGATCAATTTTATTCGCTTACTTGTGACTATAGCTATTACATATGTTCACTCATTTACTGCAGGTGTTTTAGCCAAACCTTTCACGTGAGACCACCAAACATCATTTTTCCATCAGGAGGGGCTGCTCGGTTGTCGTCAGATTGCTCACGCGCAAGATAACTCACATCCCGATTCAGACCCTGGAATTGTCGTTTCACTTTAATCCAAGTACCGTTTCCAGTTGGTGTGCGCTTCGCGGATTCAGGTTACAGAGTGTCATCCCAATACTGACTACTGGACTTAACTTATTATGCGAGCTGTACGTCATGCGATATAGGGGAATATTATCGTTCCTGTTGACTAATCTGACCGCCCGATTTGCCCGCTTTTTGTTTTCTCACTAGGTGATTGAATATTCTGAAACTGTTAAAGACGACCTAATGGTGGCTTGTTTTTTGTCAATGTTGTATGTTCGCTACGTTAAAACTGCACTTACCTCACACGCCAGATAACGGAATTTCAAACTCGGGGAGGTATTCATACAACCCTTTATCCCCAAGAGGTTTGCTCCCGTAATTCTACTTTAATCTGAACAAAATGAATAAACGACTGAGAAACGGAGAATAAGAGGGTTCAGAGGAATAAACCTGATCATTCTTTCGTAAGTTTGTGGACTCTTTTAACTAGTTTGCGTAAAAAGGCACCAATACGATTGACCTGATAAGAATCAGCAGCGTATGCTTGGCGATACCTAAAACAGGTGCACTTGAACGTAAGAAAGAACTGAGTGATGAAACAGCCGTTAGTTAACTGTTACTCTGTGGAAAAAAAGACATCTTTTGCTCCATGTGCTAGACTGAACCAGATTCTACACAAAACCTTGCAGTTCCAGGACTGTCACTATACTTCAACATTTGATGAGTCGGAGGACTGTGAATGTCCGTTTTAACTTAACCGCTGTCTTTTCGTGTCAACAACAACAACATCCAGCCTGCTAAGAAGGACACCACGCATACAGTCTGACGGCGCCATAACCTGAGGTTTAGGTGCCAGATTTCACCAAGCGATATGATTGCGGTGTATTGTTCGTCAGTGGGCTCACGCCGATTTCTCGACACTCGTCGTAACTGATTACCGAAATCTATACTTTTCTTAGTGGAAAGTTAAAGGTACATTACCATCGGGCAGTTGGTGAAATTTGATTAATAATCCTGCAGTTAGACTGAACAAAATACGAACCCGTTCCGGTAATACAGATACATCCCCATCGTACCTGGGAATGAGCTTAGGGTTCCGTAGCCGACTCCACTAGTCGCGTCAGAACATAGCAATCCTTTTATAGTGACATTCTTTATCCCTGATAAAATCACTGAAGGTGTAATAGGTGTTCAAGTTACGACCAATAATGTTGGTATACCCGAAGTGACTTGGTATTCCCCCTGGTCATGTTCTTTCGGGTTTGTATGATCGGAGACCATGTGGTTGCTTTCACAAGCAGCTGGAAACAACTAACATGACCCCCATCCAATCTGCATCGAAATCTGTGGAAAAGTTCAGAATAGATAGACGAATCGGGTGAGAAATACCAACATGCAATTAGCTAGGTAGTGATTTTTTCGTACAACAACGTCTCTTTTTGTTTCAATCATTCTTCTGTATCTGTATACTTAGGTTTACCTGGGTTTTAAGTTCCGGTCATTGCCGTGGTTACCGAAAACCTGTCGTTCTTACAGCAAAAGCAACTTATCCCGAAACTTCGGGCATACGTTACCTGGGTTCTGTTAGTGCCTCAGAGGTCACCTTCTTAGTAAACCTGGAAAGTAGCGGCTTACCGTTACAGATGGAGTTATTGAATGTATTTTGTACAGCATTTGGGAAATTTCAGAAGGCCTAAGGGATGTAAGGATCCTCATTGAAAAGGTTCTCTAGCCACATATTACTATGCTGCAAACATTTACGTTCGGACTCAAACATCAATTCTGTTTCAACTTTGTTACTACTTGAATCCTAACAACTTTGTGCTTCTCTGGGCCACAATTTAAAGGTAGCCACAAAAGAGGATCGATTCAAAGAACCTGTAAGTTCTAGGAAGTGATAAGCCATCGAACACGTCACAAGTAACTGTATTTTTGGTGAGGTGAGCTCATTTATATGTGGACATTTCAGAGGGCACACCACTGTGT